CCCGGGGGGGGCGGGCGGTAGCTGGAGGCCGGGCTGGGGTTGTTCAGTGGGGGAGACACTCGTACCCACTTGCAGGTCGAAGACCTGCTGCTATTTGTGGTGGCAGGGGGAGGGTTTTCTTGGGTCTCTGCTGAAAAATTCTGCTCCTGCAAGAATGTTTGTGGATTTTCTCAATGCTTTTTGGGGAAAAAAAACCAACCCCAAACTGCTGAATGATAAAGTAAGTAAGGACCATTTTCCCATCTCTAGAGGATATTTATGTTATTATTTCAATACATTATTTGTTATGCTTTGTTTAGTTTTTGTTCTGCTCGAAAACCTAACACTGCATATATTTATAAGGCAGTTACTAGTAACAGCAGTTTGGCGGCTATTCAACAAATTCACTGACTGTGCAGCCAGCCAGATGTCTCTTGGTAGAGGGATCTGTGAACCTGGCGGATCAGTCAGCAGAGAGAAGCCTGGCAAAGAAACTTGCAGATGATGTAGTGTCTTTACCTGAGCTAAAAGCCTTGCTGGCACATCCGTGGAGGAGTAGGAAAGAGCAGCTACATCCCTGCGCATGTTCTAAAGCCACAGCTGGCTTGGATCAGGGGGCCTGCAGCTGTGCAGAGAAACAAACCTCCGCAGCCCCGGGGGTGGCAGAGCGCTTCTTCGGGGCAGCTCGTACATCTCCCTGAAAAGCTTTAATCAAGAATGGCAAGTTGGAAGTGAGGGTTGGTAGTAGTCATCACTCATGCACAGTATGAAATAATTTTTCTACTTTTTATAAGCACCTGCTGACCTTAATGCTGAAGTAGGCAACATAAATTCTCCCTCTTTTTTATGCAAAAAAGCCTTCATCCATATAAAAGTAATTAAAAAAAAAAGCTTTTTCCATTTCATGTTTCTTGACCTGAAGAATGAGTCTGTAAGAAGTAGAAGAGGGTCTTGGCTACATGACTACGCTGGTCAACATAGCGAAGGGAGGGGATGCAGCCTCCCTCTCACAGTCCTGGACCGAGGCTACTTGTGTCTCCTTTTTTCACAAAGAAATAAATAATAGAGGCAAAATAAATGCAGAAAGTTAAAGCACTAGAAGTACCAGTAAATGAAAATTGAAGAATTCTCAGGGTTAATGTGACTCATATTAATAAACTCCCATTTCTCTGGCCTCGTATCCATTTTTCCCTATTTAAATGATGTTGGGTGGTCCAGCAAGGAATTAGCTGGACATGAGAAGAGCCATAATGGATCCAGCCGGGTTTCTTTTACCCTCACACTCTGCCCCTGCCAGCAGCAGATGCTCAGAGAAGAAGTAAAAAGCCAGGTTATGTTTCCACCAGCAGGTCAAGGACCTCCCCAACACCCCCCTTCCATTGGGCAGCATTACTTTCTCCAGCAAAAACTGCTAAGCAACCAAACCCCGTCTGTTCAAAACCCACCCATACTCGGCATGAGGGGCTTTTGTGCTGCCTGTCAAAGCGAGTGTGTTTGCTTTAGTTCTGTTGGCAGGATTAAGGGCTGTCATATCCAAAACTTACGCTTGCCTCCCTTAACCACTTCTGCTTCTCTTAAAACACTTGTTTTGCTCATCAAAATCCCGTGGTCAGTATATGTCATGTTTGGCAAACTATGAGTGGCAGCTCAGAAATATTGAAGGCGTTATTGACAACCAAATGACAAAAATAAACAGGAAGGGCCGTGATCTTGTGCTACCAAACTCTGCCTGATGTCTTCCAGATGAACATCCTCACAGCAGGGATGGTACCAGCACCAACGCACCCCATCGCAGCCCAGAGGACGCCAACGTCATGTTAGAGGTCTCCTGGGCATTGGGGGTCCCTGGGCCGAGGCACTGTTAGCACCTGTGCTCCCACCTGCTTGCACATAAAAACTCACATGTTCTGCTTGTTCTCATCCCTGTTGTTTTTCGGGAGCCTGGAGCCTGGAAAATGCCTCAGCGATGCCTTAATTGCATTTGTGCTCCCTCCTATCCTAGGGTGCAGCTGAAGGGGGCTCTGACACCCTCCACAGAACCTCACAGCTCTGGGGTGGGACAAGGCCTCCCTCCACCCAAGGTGGCCGTTCCGGGGAGCTGCTGCAGGCGGGACTGCAACGGGAGAGGCAGGGCGGGGGGTGAGAACTGGACGGGTCCCATGGGGAAACCGAGGTGTGGGTCAGAAAAGGGGTGTGGGGCTGGCGGAGAAGGACATGGAGTGGGACTAGGCGGGCCGTGGGCAGCGAGTCAGGGAGCGGCTGCCTCACAGTCTGGCAAAAGATTTGGCAGCGTTGCAGGTGGCTTTATGGCTCGGTTATAACTGGCGGAGGGTTTGTGCTGGGCTTCCCGTGCACGTGCTGCTCTTGTCTTCCAGATGCTCTGGGGAGGGCTGGATATTCAGGCCAACAGGACAATCCGCCTGCGGGATGAAGAGCTGGCCTCCCTGCGCCCGGCACGGCGGTTCATGCAGATTTTAGAGAATGAAGTTCCCAAAACACCAGCAGAGATCAAGCAGCAACTGAGATATTATTCACTGACCGATACCCCTTTGCCCCTAACAGAGTTTGACCGTCTCCTTTTCACCAGTGTTTATTGTGCCTATCAGGTTCGCTCCATGCAGGGTCTGGATAAAAATCTCTGGATTAGTTTTTTCTCTCAGCTGGCTGATGAAATGTTTCGTGATCTGTGCAAGGGGCTCTGCCCTGCAAATACCACCCTCCTCCTGGCTACCTGGCCCTGGAAGGAGAAGCCTTCACATTTAGCATCCCTGAAACATTTTTATCATTCTAACCTGGCCAGGACCAAGAGAGACACTTCATGAGGGGAACCATGGTGGGAAAGGACACACCTGACTTCAGCTGCATCCTCGGTTATTTCAAATGCTTTCCACGATTCGGGACTTTGTACAAATACGCCACACCTTTTTGCCCCTCTTTCTGTGTTGCGTTGGCAATCCTCTGAGGATTTATGTGCAAGCTTTTATTTTTAAATGAAATAAGACAAAACTATAAAATGCATTTCACCCTTTCCTGTTTTTGGTTTTTTTTTTCCCCTGTTTGTTTTTTGAGGCCGGCTGTGCTGAAGGGGGCAGTGCTGCTTAGATGTGCTATCTGCCTTGCTCACTGATGCTTCCCAGGGAGATGCCCAGGCAGTTTTTCCCCAAGCTGTTACACTGGTGTCCTCGCTGACTTAATTTTCAGATAATTCAGTTCAGCCCTCTTATAGCCCCCCTGTGGTTTCAGCCAAATGCAGCATCTTTCCTCCCCTCCAGTAACCAGCTAAGAAGATGCTGTTGTGTTTCATGATATAGGTCACATATTTAATTTCAGCTTTCTGCTCACGTGGCATCACATTTTATGCGTCCATAGCAATTTCCTACCTCGTGTATTCATTTTTCCTTAAAAAGCAACCTGAAAATGTATGTATTCCACGAAGCTTTCTGGTATTTGCATATCATATTTACACACGTACATTGCTTTGTGTCAGTTATCAGTTTGGAATACACTTCCTCAAATCTCATTTGAATTCCGAAGGATCGTGACCTAGTTACTTCTTCAGCAGATTTTACCTCTTCTATGATTTTTTTTTTGTACAGCTATGGCACTTTACAAGCCAAACATAATAAATACACGATCTCTATCCTCAGAATCAGAAATACAGTTATTTTATAGAGAGATATCTTTAACTTTTCTCCATCTTACACATTGCAATGTGGAATTAAATAAATGTAATTATCTACCTGGGAGGGTTTTGATTTTTTGTTTTGTTTTGTTTTGTTTCTTCCAGGTTTCCTGCTGCCATTATAGGTCCATTAATTTTGAACGTTCATTGCATGTGCTTAGACGATGGGATCCGTAATTCCCTTTCTATCACTATACTCTTAATTTCCCATGTTCGATAAAGGAGGCACGTGTGACATTCAAAGCGGGAACTGCTAGCTTCTGACCTAGTTAATTTTTTCCCAAGACGTTGTTGCCCAACAGACGGAAAGGAGAAGTGGTGAGGCAGGAATAAGAAGCCTGGAAGCAAGATGCCACAGAGAGTGGTTTTCGAGGTCAGGTTAGGGCTATGACAGGAGAAGACAGATTTACAAGCAGGTTGTTTCTTGCTTGTTCCCCCTCCCTTGCCCCCCAAGAATTAAGATTAGCATTTTATTTCAAGTATAACTTCTAGTAAATCCGTGTCACACCTAATGTTCTTCTATTCTTACGCTGTTTTTTAACATGCCTCCAATCCCTACACTTCATCCTTTTCCCAAATACATCCCCAGTCTTTAATGTCTAGGATATGTATGGAGTGACGGAGGCAGGGAGTGGCTGCAGGCAAGTTCAGTTTGAGCAGAGAACACCATCAAAAGGCTGAGCTGGGATGGCACCAGTGCATGGAAATATTGGCTTGCTGGAGAATATATGGTCTGAGCTATATGAAAGTCTGGATAAAGCTTGAGGGCGTTGGCTTGGTGACTTGGATGCAAATGCACTGTTTTGAACCCAGGATTTTGTTAGGATCAGTTTAAGAGCCTTGCTCCCTGTCAAGCAGATTATAAATTAAACTCAAGTGATGTCACAAAGTTTTGTGCATGCTCAGGATGATGCACATTTACAGTTTATATAGTTTGGGAGACAAACCAGAGTTTAGCTGAAACAGCACCAATTGCGCTACGATGAAGCCTCCAGCCTCCTGGTTTCTTACTACCTGCCTGGGTGGATCCTGCTGTCAGTCCCCACTGCCCTGTAGGAACACACCCGTGCCCTCTACAGCCACACCAGTCTCTCTACAGCAGCACTCTGGCTCAGCAAAACAAGGTGTGTAAGAAATCACCGGAACACAGATGCTGAAAATATCATGTAATGGTACCTTTGATCCCGTTTGTGCTAGGTTACCAATACAGCATATGGCAGGTTAGCCATACACTTCTATCCAAGGAGCTAATTCTTGGAGAATCTAATGCCCCTGCAGTCAGCACTGCCATTGCATGGCATGATACTACTCATGCTTACACGTTATGAGCCTGCTTCTGACCCAAATATTAAATGATTTAAAAATACATTTTTTATTCTTCCTATTTAGCTTACTTCTCAGCTTTCAGAGTGTGGTCCATTCATAGATTTGAGCCCTCATCCTTTTCTACAAGGGCTAGAATCCTACTTTTTTGTTTGTTTCTAAATGCATTATTTTCATTAAATGGAAGCTGAGATTCTCAATCACAGTTTCTTGACTTCAGCAACTCCAGATTAAGAAAAGCACCAAATAGTGTGAAACTTGCAATAGAATCATAAGAGGTACCAACACTTCACACACACAGATGATAAAAAAGAGTGTACATGGAGAGACCAGCTCAGTAACATACACTGCAGCTCCTGCGATCACCGTGCTGCTTCCCCTCCTGAGCTGGTACCTCAGGCAGTGACAAGCACACAAGTATCACAAGTGGCAACAAATTCCAGTCTGAGAAACTTTTACATCTTTTGTATTTTTATTACATTCATTTTCATTACATTTATTCCCTCCCCAGATACGCAAGGGAAGTCACCACATCCTTTGCTTTCTGGATGCTGGGGATCTGCAGTAACTTTACTGCAGTGGTTCTCTGACCCTCAGCATCTCACTACACTGCCCCACCCCGGCCCCAAAACTACCTCATGCTTTATGCATATATCAAACACCAACACAGGACACAGACATACAACCTGTAAAGACCTTTCTATGGATGAATGGCAGACACAGCAGTAGCCCTGTGGACAGGGCACAAGCGTGCAGCATAAGGAAAGCACTGGACACATGATCGCATGCTCAAAGTAGAGGATGATATCTGAAGAGGAGCTATACCCAAGTTCCTGGCACCTTGGCTTTTCTTATACTCCTTTCACATCTGCACTTAATTATTTGACCCTTGGGGTGAGCTGGCACCTGGAAGCCACTTTGGCTGAGCCTCTGAATAGATCAGGAAGCCCGTGAAGGTGATGTACTTGCCATGGTTGCTGTAGGCACCATAGCCATCATGCTGATGGCTGTAGAGCCAAACAGTGTCCCCATATTGCAGAGGCAGCATGATACTCTGGCTCTGCATCTCCCGCCTCTTGGAGTGGTTGTCATCATAGATCATGGCCTGCACCTCATTGTGGTTCTTCATAAGTTTCACTGACATAGTCTTAAAGGGCATTTTGCCAATGGTGAAGGAGAAATAGTATGCACCAGGTATACGGCATGAGAAGATGCCAGTGGAGGAATTGAAATCTTTTCCAATGTTCACAAACTCTGTGTCAAATGTGATTGGCTCATGCTGGGTTTGCTTGTCATCTGTCCCCAGGAGACTTTGTGAGCGGGCAACAGAAAATGCAGAGCGAGGGTCTTGTTCTCTGTTTGGTTGATCAGATAACATGTCTCGCTGTGAAGCTTCATTGTGCTCTCCGGGAAGTTGCTGAATAGTGTGATGGTGTGGCCCCAGCTCTTGAGAGCTAAGAGCATTCTGGAAGAAGGCAGAAGTGTCTGGGTAGATTAGGTAGCCATTGAAAGTTGTGTAGGGGCCCACATTGCTGTAAAGAGCATACTTGGGGTCTCCATGTAAACGTAGCCAAACTGTGTCACCATAGTCAAGCTGCAGCATGGCACTCTGGCTGGCTACCTTCCGTTCCTTGCGGTGATGTTCATCATACACAATCACTTGCACCTCATTCTTGTTTCTCATCAGCATGACAGACAAGTTTTTCTTTGGGTATTTCCCAACAGTGAAGGAGAAGTAGTAAGCTCCAGGGATCCGACAGCGGAACAATCCAGTCTTGGGATCAAAGTCATTGCCAATGTTCACATACACTTTGTCAAAGGTAATTACCATCTCAGAGCTCCCTTCCATGCTGCTGGTTCTGGCCACAGAGAAAGCAGAGCGAAATTCAGTACTGGTGTCTGCTGGGAAGCCATCTGTAGGCAGAAAAATCATGCAGCAAAGGAAGCCAAACAGGATGTGAACCTTCAGTGTCATCATTGTATCTGAAAGGAAAAAAAAGCATATTTTAGCAGGAATCCCATTAATTTCCAGCTCATGCTCCAATTGAAACCCAGACCTGACTCTTGCTAAACAGACATGAAGGTCTATGTCCAAGTATTGAGAAGTTTCCAGTGCATTCTCTGATCAGTGTATGGGCCCATACCTCAGTTCAGATCCCAGGACTGTTTTGATATTCTCCTAGCAATAACAGGACCTTTTTTCCCTGTACTCATAGGAAGAAAAAGAATCTTCTCCTCTGAAAGCCTGGCTGTCCTACAGTTTGTCTGCAAAACACTGTGTTGCTCACACTGCAAAGGGATCTCAGAGCTTGCTGGGGCTTTGCCAGAGCTCCCTTTTATAGTGCTTTTATTCATAAGACCAAGGATGAAACAAAGCCTTACACAGACCCTGTATTGTACAACTGAGATAGATACAGCTGAAGGGCAGGGAGAAGAGGACATATGCTCTAGAGATTCCCATGCAGATGCCATTGCCTAGCACTGCGCTAGCTGTTTCACAGGATGTGGAAGCTGGAAGCCAAGTAAGTTGGTAGACCCCATTATTCAGACAGACTTCACCACACATCAGTGAAGAGTGTAACGAAACTAGAAGAAGAGGGATTGTTTAGGGAAGGAAGACAATGGAGAAAATGAATGAAATGGAAAAAAAGAAGGAAAACAAAAGATAAATAAAAGGCAAGTCTCCCAAAGCATACAATCCCTAAGAGAGAACTGAAATACCAAAACCAGGGAAACAACTCCCTATCTGAATAATAGCCCAGAGAGAATACCTTCTTTGACCCTTAAAAAAGAGGGGTAAGTTAGGAGCTAATGGGA